ATAAATGGGGGATGCATTTTTTATAAAGTGAACATTAATCGACTTTGGACAAGCCCATCATTTATAATATTATTATAACCACGGTCACTTACTTCAAGCCGTATTCTTCCTTAGTTTGGCCAAGACACAGTTTTGCAGCTAAAAGCTTAATAACGGACTTTGATGACGTTGAAAGTGAGATAAATCGCTTATTGACTCCACGTTATCTCCCGAGTGCAGGGATAAGTTCAAGTGACTGTTCTGACAAGTCAAGCCATTAAATGAGCAGGTTCACGACAAAAGACATCCGATAAGGAAGCAGCTTGAGTGGTCACCAGCCAGACAAGATGAAGACTTCAAATGGAATCGGAAGCCCTCTCCGAACCGGAATGTCAAACCGTGACGCGCATTGGTCAAGAGTGCTTTCATGAAGCGCCGAAAATACGCGACGTGAAACTGACGTATTCTAAAGACGCGGCACTAAACGCCGGCCTCAATTAAAACAACAGGAAGGGAAGTCATGAGTTTTCAATGCACGTTCACAGCGAAAAACAGTTACTTCAGGAAAAACAAAATATGTTGTTTATTTTGAAATAACATTATTTAAACGCTGATAGCAAACACACGCTAGGTGATAGCACAGTTGTGATCTGCAGATGTAGAGATTCAAACGAGCCGACCTGTAATGCTTTTTAGTAGGTAAATAACTTCAATAAGCCGTGCAATAAGTGACAAGCACTTCTGGTTGGCGGTCCGTTAAATACCCTTTTAAGAGGCGATACCTTATGTCGTATTTTTCCAAATTGGGCCGACACGCAACTGGGCAATTTCTTTGCCATTTTAATCCTTTTTTAGCTTCCCGATGAGATGTAGGTTTCGGTAGTTATAGAGGAAAAGAAAGAAAAATATCGCTTTTATTGTCAATAATTTAGCGCAGCTCCAGGAAAAAAGAGACCATTTAGACGAAATAAAAAAGCTCCGAAAGTCTTCTGGTTAGAATTTAAAATAAACAGAAAGACCTCAGTCGTTCAAAACTCACGTTTAACCGTTCGCCGCATAAATGCCATTTCTACGACCTTAAGGAGAATGATAGATGAAACGCTCTAGAACATTCTGTTTCTCTTAAACTACTACAGATCGCGGGACAAAGGAAATCTTGCCATTTTATGAACAGGTTATAAGAAATGCCACACGCCAGGCGCTTCGTAAGTACAAGAACATCATATTAAATTTCATTGACATTAGACGCAGGTGCATGCCACTTGCTTAGAAGCACATTCCAGTAAAACTAAGTTAGGCCTTAATAAGCCCAGCAAGAGCTTCATAAACAGTCTTGTTTTAGAAATCAATGCTACAGCAACACAGCAGGAGAAGAGTATTACCTGTTGGGAAAAGAAATAAAGTCCCGAAAGAGCTGTTTTTCTATTTTTACCTTACAATAAATATTTCATTGCGTTTGGACAAGCATTTAAGGAGGAAAAAAGCTCTCAGCGCCAACAAAAGTGCTCTCTAGTGTCTCATATGTTTACTTTTCGCACGAAATCCATAATTACGCGAGCAGGTACTTTAGATCTTGAGACAGGTTGAAGGTAAAATCAGAAGAATAAAATGAAAGTCCTCTCGCGGAACATTTTTGATAAATCAATGTTCCACGAGAATTCCAGTCGATATATGTTCTCAAACAACACCAATAAGAGAAAAGTAATGTCGTATGAAAAACAGTAAATAGCTTCCCTTTGAATACTGGCAATATTATCCGATGTATAGGATTCATCCTCAGATTCAAGGTTAAAATCCAAGTGTCAACATGATTTAGCTGGCCCACTCCTCTGGCGTATCTCAGGCCAGTTATGGTACATACTCGTGGACTTTTTTATAGAAACGGCCTGGTGATAAATAGCTTTTGGAAACATTAACTGGTTTGTAATGATGATGTTCAGTTGAGCTTTGAAAGACTTATGCTAGTAAGACGGCATTGAGATGTCGAACTGTCAAGAATTGTCGGAGCTCAGCAGCATTTGCTTTATAATGTTATTACTCAACTTGTCCACGTTGAAAAAAAGCTTTCTCCAGGAATACAATTCTGCTTATCTAAAACTAAGCAATGGATGACAACGCACCATTAGGTTTGGATAATGAAATAAAGCTATCGTTATAGAAAACTCACGAAGGATGCTTTAACTTTAAAGTAAAAATATAGAGAACAATATCGAAGGAGCGCACATTTGGGCAACAGCTGAGCAATAAATATCAAAGAAACTCGTAGAATTGATGAGTAAAGGAAGTTTGATTTTTTAAAGCCTTGCTTTTATTACAGAATGAATAAAAATGTTAGACCAGAGTTAGTAAATATTAGGTTCTGTGTGATGTACGAGGAAAAAAGTTTAAAAGCTTAAAATTGATTTAACTTTTAACTTACTATTTTGTCGAGATGCTACCTTTGGCATTCTTTAAAGTCAAGTATTTGAAAACTAGAATTCAGTAGAAAAAATGAATGGGCTTTTCTTCGTTACAGTGAATTGGTGATTTATATCGCGTATGCCATGGAAAACATTTTAATCTAACAATGTCATGAGATTAAAAATTCACAGCGTTTTAAAAATATAGGTCCTGTAACTCTTAGACCATTATCTAAGAGGTTTTCGTTTGTTACAAATGTCCTTGTTTTAACAGCAAGTTCAATCCTCAGCAACGGGGCAATGTTGGATGAAAATGTGTTTACTACACATGGAACCCTTGACCAAAAGACGATTTTCTTCCGTTTACATAACTAGCAGGTAGCAAAAATCATAGACAATGCTTCTTTTTATATAGTAGATGAATGGTTCAAAATCTTTTGATAACAATATTCACACTAGGGCGAATTACAGCGTATAAATTTCTTATCAAATACAGTTAAAACATCATGCTGGGTATGATTTGAGAAGATGTTTAAACCCTCGGTTCACAAGGGCGAAGCACTGCCCTTCGTTTCTATCAAATTTAATTAAACGCTTCTGTGCAAATTCCATTATGTTTGCCGAGGTCAATGGATAGTTGCAGCAAGTTTCAAAATTCCAAGCAGTAAGAATCGTCATTGAGGAGGACTTCTTTTCATTGTAGAGCGTAGATTGTCGGTTTATTCCAACAAAGCTGTGTAAGTATGACCTTTCGTTCACAGGCCACATTATACGAACCGGTTAAGGTCGTAATAATGGTACAATTAGAGATGCCTTACACCGCAATAGCTTTTAAGAAAATTGCCAAAGTACCGCAAACTGCCGCCTTACTCCTGATGCCGCGACTAGCACGTGAGCTCGGATTAAACCGCTTTCAAGATTAGAAGCAGCGCCATAAAATTGTCCAAAATCGCGAATTTTTTTACCAATGATGTCAAAACAATATTGAGTATACCAACTTGTGGTTTTATCAGTTAGATTTATACACGCACTGCACTTATGCATTATTTCAGATGAAAGAATGGTCGCCACTGCTGTGAAAATGAATAACGCTTTGATATTAGAAAATCGTGTAAATTTGATTTTTTATATATTATACGAAGAAATTAATTTTTTGTTGTCAATTGTGTGGCAGGCAGTTTCTTTCATTGATATCCGTATACGACGGTCGCGAAGTACGATGAACTATTTTACTTCTTCTGAGTGCTAAAGAACCCTAAAACCAAAAATTTCTAGAGCTATCACTACCTGGCCTTTATCCATAATTGACTCTTGGATCTAACACCCGGATTAAGCCGTGAAACCCATATTCACTTAGTGCAGAGGCAGCTTGTACGCCCTAACTCCTAACTCGAAGGTGCTTTTTCATACCGGCTCATTTAATCAACGGTTTGACCTACCTGAACGAAAACTGGAGGCTCATCGCTAGTTTTTACAAAAAAATAATGACGACTGACAATTGTAAGTGAATCCATTGATTGCAAGTATATACATTTTGTCCTTATTGTACAACTAAGGGTGATGAGTGATAGTGATTATTTTTTTCTGACTTAAGAACTCCATAACCCTGGACGAAGCGGAAAGCAATCATGGTAAAATCTACAATAGAAGAAAGCATTAGAGCACATAAAAAACGTTGAATATCGACATAATGTGCGACGTAGTGGATTGTAACAAGTTTACTCCATGTTTATTTCTTGGGGTTTTTAAAATTCCAAATCGATTTCACGCTAATCGAGACTCTTCGCGAATTGTAAACTTCAATGGTTCATTAACCTGACAACGGCTTTATACACCGATATAGTTGTCATGTAACATGCCACACCTAGATGACACAAGTTAAAGAAAATATGCTAAAACCTTTATGAAGTGTATTTGCTTCTAGCATTCTGTAGTTATTCTCTAGTCAGCCTGGATATGTGCGTTCTGTCTGTATAAACTTCGAGGTTCAGCGTGAAACAGTATTTGTTGTGGTGCTTTGTGCGTTTCATTTTCTGTGACTCGTGAAACTTGCCTATTGCTTTCACTCCTAGTGAAAGCCAAAATGTGAAGTCAGAGAAAAATCCCAAACATAACTTGGCAAAATACAGAAAACCCAATCGTACCATGTAAAAGTACTATTGAAGAGGTTTTATTTGAATGGTAACATCATAGGCTTTCGTCCATAGACTCAAAAACGTAGAACTGTATCCGACACGCCACTGTCCATGATTAAATTTAGAGGTAGACACGATAAATTTGACAAAAAGAGAAGCTTAATAATGTTAAAAGCGCTTAGTAAGGGAGTATGTGAAACAAACTGCTCCATCTCTGTCTTTGAACCATCACAAGAGCTGTTGATTTTTCTTCACAGTTGCGGCACATTTTCGTAGAAAAAAATGAATGTAAAGTCTCCATGCCCCTTTAAGTGAAGTCAGCTACCTATATATTACTATGTTTGACAATACCTAGATCGTTTATTTTGTCGAATTAATATAAGTTTCGTTCCTTTTTGTGCTTATATACTTGGTTTTGATTTCATTGCTGCATGAACGAAGTCAAATTAGCGTCAAAGATATTAAGAAGTTCACTCGTTTCATGAAATTAATTTTTGCTTAAGTCAGAAAGTGTTTGTTCTATTAGATTTTTCTCTTGAATACAAAATAAAAACAAAGTGTTAGCACGATCTGCCTAAATAAGACGCGGACCTTACTACGGCTGATCAAACCAAAATAATAAACAACAATTCAGGTAAGACGGAGCTTTACAAAACAAAACTAATACAATAGTACACTGCACATTATTTATATCGAAAGAAAGAGTTTTGATCACGCTGTTTTAGTCAGCAAACAGTAAAACCATCGGGTGAAAGGCCCCAAAATATTATTTATTAAAAGCAATCATTTTGTCAAATACAATAATCAAGGTAATGTGACGATGATAAAGGGCGATAAAGCGGACAGGCACATGACAAGGATTTTTTTTTTTAGGGTATTATATGCCTACAATTAAATTACGGGATAACATGCGTTTCCGTTGAGCAGAGTTAGACTTACCTTCGAAAATCTTTCTTGTTCTTAACTTGGAATTTTGATACCGTCTCAAGACGGTAGACATAGACAACTTTATGCGATCTGTGTTGAAACTCGTTGAAGAGTGAAGAGCTGACTGAAAAGAGAAAATTCTCTATTTTAGTGTTGAAATCAGTGCTAAAAATATTCACAAGAAATCAATGTCGACTTGTGAGTGGCTTCGAGTGAACCGGGTTGTTTGGGCTTATGTACCTTGCGGGAATCAACCAGGGGAAAGAGTCCCTTGACTACTGAGGTCGTTAAACAAAGGGCGTGATATATCTGTTAGAAAATTGTCTCCGGTCTGGCTGAAGGGAATAGGTACAATCAGACGTGAAAGCAGGTAACTGGGTAGCGGTACCAGCAAAACACAAAGGGAACACAACTGGCCATGAAAGAAATCATGTTCCACGTAAACATTTACTTAGGTGCAGCGAGAGCGCCTTTTGAAAGGGGAAAACGTCCCAACGACTGTTTGACCATATGCTGTTCATACAGGAATCAATGATAGGGAAATCGGCCCTGTGAATGGACATAATACGTGGAATGAAAGAATGTACGAAAAGACACAAATTCGGTGAATGGATAGACCTATTTTTGCTTTAATTTATCGCTTTGTAAATTCCTCATGAAAAATCGAACGCTTCTCAGCAAATAAAGGGGCCAGGTTAAACACCTTGTTGCAGGCACGAAACGGAGTTAGAATCTTAAATGTACAAAAGATGTGTTCGACTTTCGCAACTGAATAAATCCCGCTTGTGAAAATTTGACGGGTATTTGAAGAACAATATTACAAGATAATTTTGCCTCGGTGTCACTTAAGTACTGTTCTTTGGTGCTTAACCTTATTTTGCCCTGACGCAAGAATTGCGTGAATTAGAATTACATGTGTGAAGCCAAGTAGACGCTATTGATACGAGCGTAAGCAAAGTAAATACCGCAGGTTATTTACTGGTAATGCAGGCTTTATGTTGTGATGATTTCGAAGGGAAACTTCTCAGATGTTCGTTAATTTAAAAATGGATTAAATCACAGTGATAATTGAAGTTGTAAGTGCAAGTTTCATTTAAATAGAAAGAAATTGTCTGCATACGTGAAGGTGGAACAATGGGAACCATCACGTACCTGTTAGATATGAAAGAGCAGACTTTTGGATCGTTGCCTAAAGAGTAAATTGAACTTTTATTAGCTTCCGTAATGATAAAAGCAATTTTCAAGTGATATTAAAAAGCAATAGGTCTTTTGCCAAAGAAAGAAAGCTATTTAAAAAATTGAAGTTAGGAGTGTCTGAGGTAGGACCACAGACAATAAAAAACGCTTAAATTAATTGAACTAGGTTCACGATTTGTTTTACTGTTGTGTCCTTTGAAAAGCCTAAATAGTTTTCATGCAGAGCATCATGAAGTGGAACGCTTAGTTTTACTCCGAATAATGCGTGAAAAGAAGCAAACGAAACCCAGAAAGTCAGTGCCACGAATAACGGTTTAAAGTTAGCTTTTATTCCACAGGAAAATATAGCACGTTCGAGATGTAAAGTCTACATTCTCGAGGGTCGAGAGAATCCAGGTGTTTAAGTTTTTATGCTTTGAAATCACTGAACGAACATGCATTACTATTGTTCTTCTCTGTTCTGTCTCCTAAAAGTCATTTATGGTATCTGCAGAGATTTAATCGTGTTTATACCAAGAAAGCATTAAGCTGGCATTAAGTGAAAAGAGAGAAAGCCTAACCAGAATTTCGAGTTCTCATTAAATAAGCTTGATTCAAAAGCGTACCTGAAAATGCCTCTGTGATTATTTAACGGGTTCCCTCCTCGTGTGGACTTAACAATAAGTACATATAAAGTACCATGTAAAAAGTCACATCCCAATTAGCAACCCATGAAGTGATCAAAATTAAAACCTTTTTATCGAAGTATACTTGAATCACCGGCTAAGTCTTACGTAACGCAGATTGCACTCTCTGTTATGGAAGATATTGATTCACTGCTCAAAAAAGTACCAGTAAATTGATAAGGAAACATTCGTCAAAGAGAACCTTTGAATTGTATTCATTAATTCGGTTTTAGATTATCAGCAAGTCAAAACGCCGAACAGAGCGCTCTTGACATGTTTTGTATTAATTTAGTTCCTTCACTCTTTAGGAAAAAAAAGCAAACGCTCCACGCAAACGTAACTTCTTACAGCAATTATTTCTATAGAATTTAAAAGTAACATAATGGCCTGCTTAGCCTCCTGTCTTCCTTGTACTGTAGTTCCCTCGGATCTTTAGCAAATCTGAGGTACTTAAACGTTAACGTTGCGATCCTATGATTACAAAGTCTCAAATTGCACTGTCGAAGTTATTAGAGAAAGAAAGTATTAGGGGAGTCAGAGCATGTCGATTTCCTGACTATTCATAAAGTCCAAGTTTTCCATAATCAACACAAATAAGTTATATATTTTTTACGAGAATCATGAGGGCAGGATCTCAAGACTGACTGAATTATCACAATATTTTCTACTATGTCTGTAAACTCCCGACAATACCTGTGAAAGACCATTCGAGCTTCCCAACAAGGGTGGTTTATTGTGCTTTTTATCACTTACTCTGTTAGCCCTGCCTTTTATTTTGTCGTAAAAAGGTTCTATATTTGACGATGAGAAAGGGAGAGATAGATGTCCAGTTCTTTGACGATTACAATGACAAAAGTAAGGAACAACGAAGTGATAATGACAATTGGACTCTGTTCTTGGCCTGTCTTTTATTTTGTTGTAAAAAAGTTCTATCTATATTTGACGACGAGAAAGTGAGAAATAGATGCCTTATTCTTTGACGATTACAGGGACAAAAGTAAGGAACAACCAAGTAATAATGACAATTGGATGAAAACAGTGAATAAATGTAGCTTTTTTTACCCTGAATTCAAAATGAACAGGGCATTTTACACAGCTTAAAGAACTTCGCGAATGTCATTTACTCAAACGACAGTTCTGGTGCTCATACCAAGCGACAGCTTAAGTATAAAGAAAATTTAATTTACCATTTGAATACAAGATTAGTTATTCCTTCAGCTGACGCGAGTCAAGTCTATAGTATTCTTGAATGTTCTTCATGACAGCAAAAAGGGGCTAAAATGTACCACCTGTTTGAGGAATAAAAACTGTCATTCTTGCCTCCTGTTGTTTTTTTCTTACTTTTTTGTGTTTTTCTGGGAAGAAAAAAGTTAATTTTCTTGGGATTTGTGTTTCATAAAAAAACTGTGTAAACAACGGAAAATAGAAATTCACATATCTCCATCCAATCCTCAGTAAGAACAATAGAGTGTTATTAGATCTTACGGAGGCAATAGCCATCATTGCCTTTGAAGGTTCCCTCCAAAGTTCACATTTCTTGAATTTTGTTAACCGTTCTAAATATAATGCAAACTAATGTTACTATAAAAGTGAACCGTGGCATGCTATGAGCAAGGACTAGTAAAAGACTGTCAAGTAACTACAGGACGCCGCGAGCGTTTAAACTAGGGGGAATTTTGCCGCGATTAAAATCCTACAAACGTTTACTTGTTCAAAATTTATTCAAGCTGGAAAGATAGCAAGAAAGCATATCTCTGTGGATGAAAGTGATTCATGAGATTTCACGAGTGGTAAAAGCATCGATTTTGGTTTTATGGCCGAAATAGAACGAAAATTTCACACGGATCACAGAGGAGAAAATCATCAGAGCTGTATTTGTTCTATTAATATTAATTTGCAAATTTGGATGAGTTTGATAATCTTAAGGCGGTAGGAAAAAAGTTCTTGTAATTCCCATTGACTGAAAGCGTTCACTTTAAGAAAGACACTTTTTAGTCTTTGAGTGGAAATTGAGCATTACAGTGGTTCAGCTTATTACTGATGCAGTACGAGGTTATAGAATCGGTCGATTAAGTATGACCATTCAATTAACGTGAAGAAGTTAAACGTTGAAGTCTATCAGTTAAATCTTCAAGCTTCAAGCTTCAATTTGATCATTTTAGGACAGTTGGAAAAAGTTCTTGTTCCCATGTTTCGGCTAAAAAAAAGTTCACTTCAGGAATAAGACATTTTACTATTTGAATGAGAGAGAGGGTAAATTGAGCATCACAGTATTGTCTAGTACAAACTTAATTACTGACCAATACTTCGCTGGTTCTTTTTCTTGTTGTCCTGTCGTAGGCGAGGAAGTTAAGTGTTGAAGTCTATGAGTTAAATCTTCAAGCTCGACTAATCCAACTAAAGGCTACGAAGTCCATCGCTGTCTGAGCGTTACTTGATTTGCTCTATGCGGTGCAAGGTGCTTCCAACTCCTTAGCGTGGATGAGTCGCTGAGCAGTGCGTTCCTGTGGCACTCAGTTCATGATGCTTTACAAAATGATTCTAACCTCGAATGTAAATTTTTCCCTGTATTGCCTCATGATATTACTCAAATTGATTTAAAACAAGTCAATGTGTGGTGCTACAACTGATATCGTAATCGCAAGTACCATTCAAATAGGAAACATTTCTGCGTGCGTAAGGACAAAACAATTTTCTTGTGAAGCTGTCGAAGTAACATTACAGGTTTACTTTATGTATATAACTGATTGCAACGCAAAGTTCTTTAAGTTGCCTACGACCTCTGCGAACAAGTTAGAATGTACTATGCCGGCAATATTTGCGACAGGAAATTCCCACATAACCGCCAGTGTATCAGCCTTAATTTGGTATGGTCAATCAAGTGTAGTTAGATTATTTCAGAAAAAGAAAGGTACGTAAATTTTTTAAAGTTCAGTTTGATACAACACACAGTGTTGTTTCGAAAAACAGTCTCTAGCTTAGATCTATACAAACTGTTCATGCGCTATGGCTTAAGTAAATATTGTTTATATGGTTGGTTGTGTATATTATATGTAGGTTTCAAGAACTAAACGTAGTTTGCAAGACGAAAAAAAGTGCTACTTTATCCACTTTTATTCTTGTCGCAGTCATCTCGAGAAGCAAAATACATAACGTTTTATACAAAAAATAGAAGAAACCATCAAAATTTCAGATGGATACCTATTTGAATTGTTAGGCGTCAATCTTAGTGCAATACTCGCTTTTCAGTTGACTCTGATTAGTTGACCATTTTCGCCGGAAACCTCAAAAGTGAGTGTCTGGACCACAATGAAAACTACTAGAACTTCCAGTAATTGTGTTATTCATTAAAGTCCTTATTATTATTATTATTAGACAGTACCGTTCAGCGAGCGCTTTAGGGACAAGAAGATCGTGAATCTGTTCGTTATAATCATCTACATCTACCTGACTGTCATAGGCAACAAACAGGGCGGTTTAATTATCATGTTATCCTATCTGCTTTATTTGAATGGCCGAATTTCTTTCACAAGTTCAAACGGAAAGAAACCGACAGGATTTCTAGCACAGTCTGGGGAGGCAGCATCACCTTGCTTAATACAATAACCTGTATTGCGACAAAAAGGAAATCACTCATGCACATCACTCACGCAAAAGCTTGTCCGTCAATACAAGTCATTTTGTTTTGCATTATAAACAACCTTGCTTGGCAAAACAGTACTGCTTAGTATAGCTTTTATTTGAATTTTCAGCCTTTACATCTTTTGTTTTTGTGTTGTATCAAAAACTGTACCACACGAAAGGGTTGCTCTTTTAGTATTGAGTTAATTATCATTTGCGTCAAGCGATTTGGGGAACAGCTAGATTTAGCTCGTAAAAAAATGGGAGGCGGCGTCGTTGCTTTGTGACCTTACAAACTTATCAGGGGAATCCAACGACTGTTTTCTGTAAAATATCTGTTCGGAGAAGCAAAAATTACTTAGAATTTTCTACAGCTTGAGGAAGGCTTTAAATTTCTGGATGACCGTTCCTGTCATGTACAATTTTCGAAGCTTATGTAATAAACTCACTACGATTTTCTTAAGTTTAATTTTTCGCATTTCATTCCTCATGTTAAGCTATTTTTCGTAGAAAAAAGGAAAGCTAAAATTTTCGGATTGAAAAATGTGATGGAGAGAGGAATTAGAGAAAAATTCTTACTTTCGTAAAACTTTAAATTGCACCTAAAATGTTCGGGAAAATGATACTGATTATTAGCCCTTGTAATTTCGAAAAGACTCACGTTGCCCTAGGATGACCGAACAGAAACAAATTTTGCAGCGCCGCTTAAAATGCATTTCTAGAGATCCAGAAGTACTCTAAATAGCCTAAAAAGTGATTTAAATGCATTTAGGGAGAAACCGTCGTTGGGTGCCCCTGACTTATGTTGGATTGTTCTCCACAACACTGCGTTTTCTCCCACTAGCTATTGTGGTTCCCTCCTTTCTACCGTTCCATCAAGCAGGCTATTTGGACTACACATACACAGATCAAATAGAATTGTAAGTTGTCAAATCAAAACCTAAAAGCTACAATGTATCAGCTGTGTTTTTCAGCAATGCATAAGGCAAACGAAATTCGATAGCCCGGAACAAGCAGGAGGTTTTCCTAGATATGGTACACTTTGCGGTCGGAGATCCCAGAGTGAATGCAAATTGCAACCCTATCTTTCGAACGAAGTTGGAATATTTGAAAATGGATTGACACCTAATACTATAAAAGCAACTTAAAATGTCCGGCAACATTAAAGCGAAGGTCAGGTTTTTTTTTCGATAAAGGATAAGTAACGGATTCTTCATTATTTCACCAGGGAAAACGAAAGCCATTCGCAAGCTTTAGAGTACGAAGATTAAAACAGGCAATTGTATTTAATTATATGAAAAATGTCAGGAAATGTTCCTTTTAGAAGTGAGACAGGTGCCAAAAAATTGCATTGTACTTGTTTTCTAGAAAAGGGGAGCAGAGTATGAAAAAAAAAAGAATCAATATTACACACAGGTGTGTCGAGTTGAAACTTAACTCAAGGCTGCTCTGAAAGTTATAATAGTCTCTGTACTCAAGAGAAGTACACAAGATAGCTTGCAAGCAATGCAGTACAGGAAAACAACAAAAACTTTGTCAATAGATGTCGGAACCTACTAGTAAAATGTCAGGTATTTTGCTTTGGGGGGACTTTTCGGCCCCGTGAAAACCGGGTTCTCGAAATGCAGACACATTTGAATTTTATCGGGCATAAATTTCTCAGATTCACCAGCGTATTTTAGATTTTATTCACTTTTTATTCGAAAGCTACGGCGAGCCAGTAAATCTGAAACTAAAACATAAGATAGTATTTCTACTGGGATGAAGATTAAGCTACAGTACGTACTTTCGCTTCTGGCAAGAAAGAAAAAGCTTTTTGAACAGTAGGCGGTTTTAATCGTTCCACTACGGACGACTTGTCAAGTGACAACTTTTTGTCAGGCGTCCTAGATTTGGAAAGAAACACTATTTTGTAGAGCTTTTTAAACTGTCTATTACTATCTGTTACCATATCGATGCTCTGGAACGTACTTGTAATAAGCCAAACGGAGTTTCTAGGAACTAAGACGAAATTCAAAGTGGTTGCGAGCACGTTTTTTGCTACGGTTTCAGGTTACCCGGCTTTAGCGTCTTCGAAGAGAAGATGAAAAGTTTTAAGAACCCTATTCTTTGATAAAAGCCTGTACTTAGGTATTGGACGCTTGATTGGCTAAAGTGAATATTGCACAAGCAGAAAAAGCCAATAGACGTAGTCCCAGGGTGAGCCGTTTGGCTCCACGTGCGTGATGAGTATCCTTAAAATTCAAGGGCGTTTGAAAGAAATGTATAAGGACTACTGGATGAAAGCCAGTGAAGTGAAGAAAAAAATTGTTATCCTGTAAGAAAGTTTCCCTTACCTTGGATGTGTCTTCTAAGAGTTGCTATTATTTGGTTTTCTTCACTGCCAGGAGATTTGAAATCGTTTTGAGGCAATTCTTTGGCCCCACGTCTGAATGGTTTCGTGTTCAACTGTACTGAAAAGCCAAAAGGAGAAGTCGTGCTAGCTAGATAAGTATCTGATTTAAATATAACTTGTGACATATGCCATTCATAATCATTTCTAAACGCAATTTTAAAAGGGATCACGTTGGAAAACCTTTTCAAAGACGACCTCTATGTACAAGTTTAGATTAGCAAACAAATGGCTCTTCTTTCCACGCTCAGCACCTTTCAAACAGTCGCACCGATTTGATCACGTCGAAACTGAAAGAAAAAAAAGTTGTTCATGTTTAGGCTTAAACTCATTTGCCGTTCTCCAAATGCTCCTAAAATGGCCCCAAACTGTCTAAGTCAACATAGCTGGCTAAATTAGCAGCTGACAAAGCAACACAGCATTAAAACTTTTAAGCGAAACAAAGGATTGCTTTGTCAAACAATGACGACTAGACACATTTGCTTGGATCCTGTCACGTACTAGAGTCAACTTTCTCTTTAAAACTTATGGGTTGTGTGTTTTTCTTTTATGTTTCAACAAGAAACAACTTGAAATTTCAAGAAGCGCTGCCATCGAAAGTTGTCAAGAAGAAACTTGCCAAAGAAAACTAGAACAGTCAAATCAATAAACGTAGCCGAGTTCGCAACCATTTGCTGACTTTAATTTGCGGCGACTTTAAATGGCTGAATTACTTTCGCGTGTACCGGGAATATTGTTTCAAGTTTACCCAATTAGAAGCTGTGAACAGGAAATTCTCGCAAAACAGCAAATACAGTTTACAGAAGAGAGGCGTTAAGACCACGAGGTCTATTGTTGGGCTCCTTTTGTCCGAAAACCCAAAAACAAAAGGGGGCAGCAAACTTTGACTGCACGCTCCTTTCACGTTTTAGATTACTCTTTAATTTTGTTATGAAAACAAAATGCACGCGTCTTGTCCAGAACAAACAACTCATTCAGCTAGCACAAAGGCAAATTACACTTTCAAAAGGGCTTATTTTGCTTTGATTAGGCTTTATATTCTGCTGTAATCTCGACTTCTGTTGGTGATTCTAATTGTTCCCATGCTGAGGACCGCGCGTGTTCGGGACACGCTTGGTGAATGTTCTTTTTAATAATACAGTCGGTTATAGGTACTTTTGTAAATGGGAAATATACAGCTGATGTCAACAAAGATTAATTCGTTTTCCTTTCATGCAGCGCCTTGACTCTTAAGATAAACTTTTCCATTTACTTTTCTCGTGGTAATGGTTTCCTACGAACGTATTACATTTCTAACTAGATGCATTGTTTTCCTTGTTGTGTAGATCCTAAGTAGCCAAGTGTGAGGGAAAAACACGCAGCTTTTTTTTTTTCGAGCATTGAAAACAAACAATTATGATGTGGACAATCACTATGACCAAAAATGGCTCTCCGAAAAGAAAACCAATGAACTGCTTGACATGGCGACTTTCAAATGGCCTTTGAAGTTTGCACAACGCAAGTTTATTAATCGAAGATTTCAACTCTGCAAACACAATATAAGCCTGTATACATGGATCAATGCGAACATTAAAAGGGACATCTGAGTACACACAGCGACTCGCCGTATTTCCATTTTGTTCAAAACAGTACAATCTCTATTATTTTTCAAGAGGGTGATGTTGAAACTCAGACTGTTAACGCCCGAGGCAAACTGTTTTTCAGACGTAAATAGCTGGCAAAGAGAAAAGATGGCGTCTTTTAATGAAACGAAAGATACACGTTTTTGGTGGTCCCCCCAAAAACATTTATTTGATTAAGCAAATGCAAGCGAATGATAAAGCAATTCATGATTCATAACTGTTTGGCAAACTGAGCAATCAGTTTATTGGTTCAGTACTGGTCAACGAAGAACCAGCCTTCCCGGCGGCGAGTTAAAGATGATCGTGAGTTCGATTTAAACTAAGCAAAGAGACAAAAAAAGAAATAACACAGGCGCAAAAGTAAAGGTTGGGAGGATGTAAGGGCAATATTATCCAAACTGCAAACACCTTGATTCACAAAGTAAAACAGGGAACTATTCAAAAATGAGTCGCTTATTATTTGCCAGCGAAATGACACTAAGCTGAGAGAGGGATTAGAAAAGAAGATAAGACCGCGATTTTAACGAATAAAAAGCAATAAAGAGCCATTTAGTTAATCCATAGAAACCAATCCTATAAATAAACAAAAAAGATCGGCTATAATTATGAAAAAAAAAACTGATTAACTGTAAAATAAACTCACCGAAGCTAGCAGACGCTGTATAATGAACAAGCAGCGCGCTAAGAATATCCTGCCCCTTAAACCAAATTTTGGAATTTTATTTTGAACACCCTCATTTAACTGCGCATGTATTTTCTGTATATTTGGTCTCTCCTTCAATAATCTGGATCCAGGTTACGAGCGTTTTCAAATAACATGTCCTAAGTCGTAGTTAATACCGTTTACCCGAATCGGGCCTGCTCTTACAATCATGGCCATTCTTAAGGTGAACTAGTTTATACGTGTAGTTTGCTTGTTATAGGACAGCAAACGAAGTTGGCGCAAAATAAAAAATAATAATAAAATAAAGAAATAATAATAAAGAAATAAGAAACGTGGAATAAAAGAAAACAAACCCTCATCATACCGGATTTTATCCTTTTGGAGCCCCTTCCTTGTAGCAAATGCTCAAAACACACAAGATCAGCATAAAAAAGAAACGGAAATTTTCATTTACAACTTGTCGAAAAATAAACACTTGCCCTGGCTTGATGAAAAATAGTGCTTAACGGGTTTAGTTTAGTTTTGGGCTAACGTGAAAAGGTTAGCACTCCGGGAATTGTGGCATGCGTGTTCTCTCCGTTTACAAACTAGATCAAGGTTTCAAGTCGCCTTAAATTTTCTCGTTTAAAGAAATGCTGTAGTTTCTCCCTTATATTTACGGAAGAACGGGAAACGTGTTCTGTCTCAAATAAATAACTATTTTTGGCATGAGTTTACACATTGGAGGGCTTGGAAGACTCAACAAGATACCCGTCGATTTCTCGTTAGAAAGAAAGTAATTGTAACCAATTTTGAGAGCTAAGTGTTGAAAACTAACAAAGATATGACTTCGAAAAGTCGCGAAATTTTATAGACGTTTTTGTTGATGAAAAAGCTTCATATATATGTACATATATTGTTTAGCAGGGCTCAATATATAATCGGCTCAGTAGGCTTATTTTTGTAAGCTATTTTTGGTGCGGACCATTTTTATGAGCAGCTTTCAGGAAAAAAAAACAACAAAAACACGACCACCATAACAGGGGTTCCATAAATATACCATTTTTGAAAGTGTGTTGACAATTATACTTTTTCCGCCTTGAGTCAGGCAATAATAATCTGCAAGCATGATATAAAGTTTGCGAATTACATCTCGCGCTTACGTTCAAATTTGGCGGTTGCGCCGAAATTGTAGACTTCTTGATTCCAACGCGAGCAAGAAATCCAGACTTCTATCCACTTCGCCTAAGGATCTTAAGGTTGAAGTTATTTCTAAACTTAGGGTAATACGGAACTTGGCGGCCATTCGGCGTTCTGCAAACGATCTATCACAATCGATCTTATATCAATCTCAGTATGAACAGGGCCTTAGTTTTCCAGGGTCCTGATATTTCAACCGGGGAATGAATAAATAAATGGAAAGAAGACAATACTGATGCAGTTGCGAAATGAAAACCTGAAAAAATTCAGGCTTGCCAGAATTCTAACCCTAACCTCTGCTATAACGGTGCAGTGCTCCATCCAATAGGCCACTTTCGATATATTAAAATTCAGCATGATATCGAGTTTGATAGGACACGAACAAAGAAAAGCCTCGCTATCGTGCTGAATTTCATATATCGAAAGTGGCCTATTGAGCAGGCAAGGCAACTGGGAGATGGTCATCTTCCAGGTTCTTCTCGCTTAGTATGTTTTTCCCCCGTTTTTTTTGTTGGTGTATTTGGCGGGCTTTATTTCCATTGGAAACTAATTTCTCCCGATAACCCCGAGAATCGGGAAATTATTTTGCAGGAATTTCAGCTGTGTAGTGGAACAAGGTTTTCATACGACTCTTCTGCCTGTTTGTCTGAATCATGCTCATTCGAGTATGGTTTGATAAATCTCACTCCCCTTCCCGGAGAAGTTAGGCGTTACGATAGATTTGTGTATAATGGTTTAAACTGATGAAGTCACAAGTGGTACAAGGGACTCTCACTAATACGGGCGGTTACGTCGGTGAAGTGCTTGTGACTCGGTTAGGGTAAGGCGGAATGAGTTTGCCGAATGGCATGTGGCTTGACTTGCGGATTCTGCATAATTATACTTAAGGAAATTCTAAATTCAACTAAAAAGCGCGCGCGCAGTTTGAAGAATAGCCGGTCTGTGTCCCGGGGAGGGTTCTCAACGAAGTTCTGTACGTGGAGGCCCTGCCCTAAGGTCCAACCCCTTGTGCCCTCTTATATACCATTTTTGACAGAAAAGGTCCCCCTTTCGTATACCTTGTACTTAACAATTATTCCTCGAGCCCGAATGGGCTCTGAGTCAATAGCCCATGAGGCCCATGAGGCCGAAGGCCGAATGGTCTATTGACTCAGAGGCCATGAGGGTGAGAGGAATAATTGGTTTAGTAAAATCCAACTAGTTGGTAAAAAATATCGAGATAAAACAACTTTAGCTAGTAATACTTTTTTTGCCGCCAAAAAGACGGCGCTTTTCGCTACTAGTGGGCTATAACATATAGCCTAGTAGTAGCTCAACCAATCAGAACGCAGCATTGATAATAGACCACTAGTTGGATTTTACTAGTGACAAATAGTACCAAGTTTAGAACACTGCATCCCTTTTGCATCGTCCTTTCCATAAAATGCGCCTGTAGCCATTTTTGGTCCTTTTAGAGACCGAAATGACAACCTTCGCTACCCTTTCAATGCTGCAACTAATAAAATCCCTCCCCTTTAATGTAGCAATGCTCTGATTGTCATGCCTTGACCGGGTTGTCTTGGCTGGGCGAGACAAAATGTTTATATGGAGAAAAGTTGGCCTGGCTAGGAGGGCCCCTGACCCAGCAAGGAGGGCCACGCTTCTAGCCGAGCCAACGTGTTGTTTCTTACGTCAACGATTTGCCAATTTAGTGTAAGGCAAAAAAGTTGGCTCGCCCAGGGTAGCTTGGGTAGGCGAGTGACCCGTCTATCCGGGACATCTCTTGCCGAGACACGTTTTCTCCGTATAAACGGGGCCTTACTAATGTGGGACCCATAGGAGCATAACATCGTCACAATATCAACATTGACTTTACGGATGTGGGTGAATAATATCAGTATAGTACGTACAGTAAGTGGTAAAGGTTTTACAGGAAAATCGTTATCAGCAAATCTAGAAGGCCGAAAATTCGCCTGCTTCCGCAGTAATAATCCACGCTGGTTTCGCTGTAATTAACATTGTAGGCCGCCCGGTCCTTTGCTCTGCTGTCAATGTTGACGGTTTACTGATCTGCCCTTTGTTTTCCAACGAGTGTCCATTTGTGCGTTTCGTGGATAGTCTGTAAAGTTTCATACGATTTGCAAACATCGAAATCGTTGCTACGTTCAACTTAACTCTGAAGTTTGACGAGCTTAAAGGAAGCTTATTGATGTATTTTCGAGCTATGTTTGTTGGGCTCTTTGAGGCATATATCATGGGCTTTACAATGCAGTGACACCACATTATCCACTTAAAAGTAACTTTCAGACTATGTGGGATATTCCCGACTCCCATTCCGTCCAAAAGCATCAGAAAACACGCTGGAAAAACTTGAATTAAGCTTGTACCTATGACGAATTTTGACGTCGAGGTGGACTTAGCGTAAACGTTGATCGCTAACATTTGGGCGTTGGAAAGTGCTAATGGAGATACACTGTGGCGGGTCAGACGAGTGACCTTATAAATTTGGTAATAGCAATAAGCTATAAGAAATAATGGTAGCATTCCAAAAAGAAGTATTGTTGAAACAATAATGAATAGTGCTAAGCCACTAAGAGGATATTGATATCTTTGTCCGCATGTGTAGAAACATGGAAAGTACTCAATCTTGACGTCATTGGATAAGAGTAGCCATGGAAACGCTCCAAAAAACCCCAAGCCCCAAGCCAACATTGCTAGTCTTATGGCATCGGCTAATTTCATAGCGCGGGTTCCTGGTTTCACAATTACTAAATATCTATCGAACGCGATGATAACTAACTGCATGACAGTTGTTTGTGTGAAAAACAAGTTGAAAAACGAGTTAGCGATGCAGAAATTATCCGTCTTGAACTACAGAAATCAATGCAACTGGCATTACTAGAACGCTTGTCCCGAAGTCCACCAGGCTTTGACTCACAATAAGCATGTTAGTGGCTGTTTGCATACGAATATCCGCGTAGACAGCGTGTAACACAACGGTATTGCAAATTATTGATGTCGTCATCACCAAAAAGAGCGGTATTATTTTGAATACTTTAGCGGCTGTTGACGAAACGTCTTCATTGTTCGGGTTGAGGAGCGCCACCTCACTTGACAGATTGTCTTCTAAATGATTTGAGATGTTCATCATCCGAACGGATGAAAGAAAGTTAAGAGTTGCTTGATCCTCCGCCAGAGTACATCTTCACATAGTCTTGGGATCCGTTGCCTGCAGAGCGAAAGGAAAAATGCAATCGCTTATTTGATAGGCTGCGTTGCTAGAGATCATATTGAGAATTAGACTTTAATTCAAAATGGCAGGATAAAATTGCTTTTCACAACTAGACTAAAACAAACCGCGGCAGGATAAGCTCCCGCTCGTTCCCGCTCGATTCCTGTTAGTTCTCGCTCCCGTTCGATTCCCGTGGCCGGACTTAAAAATAACTGAGAAATGAAGGTACTGCCTCTGTCCTGCAAACGGCTGGACCTTTGCGTGGCTTGGATCTCAGTAGGGGACTTAAAAATAGTGTCCCTCTCTCCTGACTTGGTACTTTTGTGCCAAATACATTGACACTTAAATAAAACTGAGCATTTTTTTTCTTCAGCTCGCAGAAATATCCGACAGACTATATTATTTAGTGATCAATATCATTAACTTACGTGTATACCTGGGTGGAAACAGAAAAACTCGATTTTGCTTAAAGAAAATAGCTTATTTACGTACTTATACTTCTGAGGTCACGTGTCGTAACTTTAGCTATATATATCCAGTTTCACTGATCAGTTTTGGCCAAAAAATGTCTGCACGAGCGCTAAACGGATGTCACTGGAGAATCGATTTTAAAAATAAAAGAAAAATATCACAGACAACCTTTCTGGTGTTCTTAATCCGAGAACGCGAGAATTAAGATTCAACGACGTCTTCATGAAATTGGTGGACTTTGAAGACAAAGCGAGTGAAAATGACAAACTTTAAGTACCTTGCTCTCTTTTGGCCGCAAAATTTCTCTTATTTGACCGTCATCAAGAGCTACTTTCGTTTCAATGCCATTTCAGTAAAATTTTAAACTTTTAGGCACAATAAATTACCCAAACAAATTTGAAATTAATTGACAGCCGTTTGTTCAGTAGTTCACGTTCAATGGTACATCAACAGGAGCCTACCACCTTGAACTATAAGGCATTTTTGTATCGAAGTGCTTATAAAATAACCTTTGCGTGTTTTCTTAATTCAGTATTCTTCTTTAAACTGCTTTCACATTTGTGAAAATAGGCAATGTTGAAGCGTGAATAAGAGCTTTTACTACTGTTAAAATTGTAAAATGTTATTCACAGAAATGAATCAAAACCTACAATATCTTCAAAACATTACTGATGGTTTACGTTACATGAAAGTACCAAATCTCTTACCCGTTGCTTGCCAAAGTGTTCATTAAACAGCGTACGATCCAGCGTTGTGATAGCAGATGCTTTGCCTGATATTAAATTCTGTATTAAGTTTCCGTGTCACTGACGTGACGTCAGAGACCTTAACTAAATGCACCGTTAAAGGAACACTGGGTCAGATGTTTTGAACTGGTATTGAGCTCTCCAGAAACGAGAAAGCTCAGTATGCGAGACGTTTTGGATCTTTATAGCATTGGATTTGCGTACTTTCCATCCAAAGTGTTTCCGTTCGGCGTTTTTTTTTTCTTTGTGGGTGGTTCATTAAAGTGAAAAAAAATTGGTTGAAGGAACAATACAACCCATTAGTAGAAAAACGATCCACCTGCGGTAATATTTATGTGGAAAATGAAAGCAAATTTATCACTTGAGTGAAAGTTTGCTCTCAAAAAGGCGATATTTTGCGTTTGTAAACTGATCCACTTACTATAGAATTAACTTTCGCTTCGCTTTGATTTTATTTGAGCTTGCAGGTTTTTTTATTGTTTTGCCGTTGAAAATTAATAAATCAGATTATATTGAGAATCTAGTTAACCAAGAACTTACAAAGGTTTTGAGAAAAATGACTAGAAAAATTGATTTTTGAAAAAGACAAAACACCTTATTTCGTTAGAGACAAATTTGTTTGCAAAACGTTTCCTGTTGTTCCTTGAATATAGCGTTTTTACATGACGTCACGTCCTGCATGTTTTTTATGTTCCAAACCAGTCCAGTGGAAGTTGAACGTATTTCCTATGTGAATTGTAAAACTTTCTTTTGTTCCAATAAATTTGTATGCTTTAGTACCAATACAGTTTCTAATCTGCCTAAGTTTTGCAGTTCCTAAATATTCTCTCGGACCACCATGCCGATCTAACTATGCCATGAGATAAAAGTAGTGCATGTACTTAATACTTATAACTTGTCATGAGCAAATTTATATTAATTTTATATATGGTCGATCACATGTTAAAAGATTTTTTTGTATTATAATCAGAATCAGGGATAATAATCAGTTACGAACATAAGACTCTCGGCCCTTGGTCATCGAAAGTGGGCGATATTTTTGGAATAACTGAGTGATTTCTCGCAAGCTGATTGGTCGAGAGCTTAGTAGTCGATAAGAGTACAGACGTTAAAAATGACTGATGTTGGCGCAAATGATGTAATAGTGGTGTTCTCGCAGGCGATTTTCCGATAAATTTCAACGAAAGTAGACGTCAAAAACTGTCAATGTTATCGCAAAATACAAATCGACAAAAATTTTCCATGATCTTTACTCTTATCGGCCTTAGAAATAACTTCAAAATGTTCAAACCGTTGCACTTGAGCTTTTGAATGATCATTTTGACGATATTTCTATGGTCGATAAGAGTATATACAGATTGCGCAAAATTTGGCTTTTATTGATTTCAATTTTCTTTCTTTATTGTTGTCATAGTGATAACTTAAAGCTACATTTTGACAAACTTCAATCTAAGGTTTGCCTGCGTGCAGACGTCTCCTATTTCCTTTGTTGAATAGGAGACGTCTGCACGCAGGCAGTCTAAGGTCAGTCACTGGTGAAGTTTCATAGCGATCGGACGAGGATAAAATCACTTTTAAGGCGATTGAAAAATATCTGTATGACCTCCGAAAAACTGTATCGAAACATCTTAAAATAACCCACGATCGCCCCAACGAAGAGATCTGGAGGTACAAAGATTTCCTAAAGAACTAAGTTAGACTTCGTTTAAATAACCGACCCTTAGATTTTGCGGCTACTTTAATTTGCTTGACGGAAGAGGTCTATTTGGCCGTAACGTTTTCAAAAACTGCAGCTAGACATACTTTAGGATCTTACCATTTGAGTGTGCCTAAATGATCCTCAACAAGGTCGAGCGTCTTAATACCAGCCCAGGGGGGTACCCCGGGTTTCAAATGACGGGGATGATCGAATGGGTGCAAAAATCAAAACCCGAAAGAATCCCATGCCGAATTTCCGCGCCTTAAAAATTTCCAGAAAGCAAAACAAGTTTGGTTGTACTTTTTTACTTTAGTCGCAGAATTGTCGCGGCCTGGATACGCGGGCACTACCACTAATCTTCAGATTGATGTCAATACCCCAGAAAATCCTTACTTAAATCAAGCGCAGGCAATCCCGGAATCGAAAATTTCAAACCCCTAAAAATCCTTCGATCATCCCCGTCAATTAAAATCCGGAGTACCCCCCCTGCCTGAAAATACCAGATGCTTCATGCCTAATTGTTTAATATTAGAGAGATTGAGCTTTATGCATACGGCAAGCGGCAAACGTCAGATTCAATTCGGGAATGAGCAGATAAAAACAGCTCAAAACAATTCTTATGGATAAAACGTTGCGTGAAACTACTCATTTATGGGAGGAAACTTGGTCACGTGGTACAAATTCGCGTTTGCCGTTTGACGTAAACGTGATTCTCAACCTCTCTATTTGTCCATAATAGAATAGCATTATGGATCAAATTAACGGATTGGGCGTTAATGAACGTTCAAGGGACGATAAAGCCGCAATACAGGACATTGACCCCTTTGCATGGGCTGCGTTTTATCCAAAGTGTTTTGATTTTTCGTAGGTGGTCCATTTCTGAAAGTGAATTAGTTTTGTTCGAAAAAAAGAGAAAAACAATACCATTAGTTATCAACAAAATGAAAGGGAACACCTGCAGTTTTAACTGAATTTCTTTTAGCGTAAATCAAAGAGGAAAAAGACAAACTTACAAATTTATTATATGTCCACTAAATTTTCACCAAACGGTGATATTTGCCGCTCTGTCATTGGTCAAGACAGTTGATTTACGCGCCGTCGTCAACTGACGTTTCTGTTCTGTTGCTACATCAGCCTAATGATGCGCGATATACTAATGATGCTCGATTTGAACAGGCAACGATCTGATTGGTGGTAATTGACAAAAGCAAACCCATACGTCCAGCCTTCTGTTCGGAGGAGGAACGCAGGCTCATTTCCCGAACAGCGGCTGGTAATCAAGCCTATGTAAATCACCACTCAAAAACCTATCGCCCCGTGTAAGGGAATCCGGATATTCAGGATTCCGGGAAAAGTTTGCTCGTTGAATCCGGAATCTTGGGCTTTGGAATCCAGAATACAACTCAAGGAATCCGGAATCTCACTAAAGATTGGAATCCAGAATCCAAGTTCCACAGAAGCGGACTAGAATCCAGTACCTGGAATCCGATTAATTCGCGGCGAGGAATCCAGAACCCAAGACTGTCTTGGATTCCCCTGCATGGGGTACATATAAATTTATACGCATTCCTCAACGGTTTGAGTTTCTGAGAAACAGACACTCAAAAGACAGACGACGCTGCGAGACGACTCGAAAGAACTTATCCAGACTGAAAGCTTTTATTTTGACCCTTTACTTTTACGATGAGCAAAGTACATCAAAGCAGAGTGTGACAGACTAAGTTAAGTCCAAGAATTTTTGTCGCGTTTCAAGTTCTTCCTTCTTTCGAAAGCAAACATCTTAACATTTAATAACCCTTCGGAGCTTGTAATCGTTGTTGTTGTTGCTGCTGCTGTTGTTGTTGTTGACAGAGTGAAATACAGTACGTTTCCCAACAGAATATTGTCAAGTTCCATTCTACCGAAAAAGAATATTAAGTCTGGAATTCAAAAAGCAGAATGGAGAAAATTTTAAAGGAGGTCTTAATGGATTTGCTGCCTCCTAACACTTTACCAGCGGATACATTCGTCCTATGTGATAACTAAAGTAGGTTCCAAATATTCAGATTGTGGTAAACTTCACTTATTCCAAGTGCACTGGAGTTTATTGTTGCTACGGCAACAAAACCAGAGCAACTGAGAACTGAGCAACAGCTTGCTGTAGCCGTGTGACATTAGAACTTTGTTTCGGCGGCACTTGGTGCCTGTGAAAAAAAAATAATAAAAATATAAAAATAATTGATTACTTATATACCTAGTTTAAAGGGTGTCAGGACTGTCAGTAAAACGCAGATTGGGGGGTAGGGTCAGGGATCTATTGCTTGGGGGTTTCTTTTGTTATTCTTATGGTTCCCGGGGAAGCGGAGGATGTGAGCCGCGAAACTGCGAAAGGGAGGCGCTAAACGGGCCTTCGGAACCAGGTTAGGGACCTATTGATTTTTTGTTTTGTTTTCTTTTGTTTTCCCCCAGCAAAAACATATTAGTAAAATCCAACTAGTGGTCTATTATCAATGCTGCGTTCTGACTGGTTGAGCAACTACTGGGCTATATGTTACAGCCCACTAGTAGCGAAAAGCGCCGGATTTTTGGCGGCAAAAAAGGATTAAAGTCTTGCTTTAAGTTGTTTTGTCAGGATATTTTTGACCAACTAGTTGGATTTTACTACAGAGAGGTATCTCGAGGTCTTGCACCGGTCATCTGCTGCATTTATACAGCAATTACCGTTATTAGCTCCCATCACTAAGTAGTGCTTCTCGAGGATGTTCAAACGGGAGGGACTACGCGAAACGTGAGCATGTATGTTTATAACTCAGACATGACATACGTCTCCTCCTCTCCTTAAACTTTAGACAACTTTGTTATATTTTGACGACCAGATTCATCTTGCTCTCTCGCGGAACCAGCCAAATAATAATTATAAAATGTAAGTCAGCTTATCACTTTTCCGGGTATGAATGGCATGCGGCTCGTTATACCCTTTCTGGAGGAGTGCACCTTTTTAACAGGGCCTCAGTGAGCCGTCAAACGGTCTAAGATTTAACCGTCAACCGTCAAAAAAAGGTTATGTTTTACTGTCAACCGCCAAAAATGCAGATTTGATTAAAAAAGTTTTAAGGTATCTCAAATTTAATTATTTCAGGTGATCTTCACGGAATTCTGGCTAAGAAGAATCTCTTAAGTGTAAAGCTTAGTTCCCACATTCTCAAAAAACACCCTCTCTAGACATTACAAGACCTTGCAACTTGCTTATACAAAAGAGGGTGTCCGCTTAATAGAGGTTTCACTGCATCTGAAAATATTTCGAAATTTTAAAAGCGAAAGGCCAAGACAACCTCCAAAGACACAAAGGTTAATATTAATTTGCACAGAAATTAATATTTACTTAAACTCTTTGAATAAATTTCTCCTTAATAACCGTCAGCCGTCCAAAGCTTTATAATTTGACCCTCAGCCGTCTAAATTGGAAAAAATTAACCGTCAAAGCTACCACCCCGTTGGGACCTCTTATATTTGGGTATAGGTGAGCCGCAAAGGGTCTGAAACCCTGACCCTTTTTAGGACAAAAATTCCTAAAATACATACCTTGTTTGGGACAACACCCTCAATTTTAGTACCCTGTTTAGGACAACTACCTCAATTTTAATACCCTGTTTAGGAAAAAGGACAAAATGCACGCCGTATTGTTTTAAAGCCATTTATTGGCAATTGCGATTGAGATAATCATGTTACAGTCATTCCGTCTTGAAGGTACAGACACATACCCTGTTTAGATCAGACTCGTGCGAAATTATATACCTTGTTTAGGACAGAGCAGAGGACGAAAACCAAACCCTGTCCAGCGGCACATCCCCGTATAGGCCATATAAGGGAATACCCCCACCCTCCCCCGGGTACTTAACTAAAACAACGCGCGATATATGCCAGTCACCAACTTACCGCTTCCTCATTAACGGGATAAGGTTTGTTGGCATTCTGAGGTTGGCATTGAATGACTTCTAGTCCTTTATTTTCTTCTCCAGTGGTGTGTTTCGGGGGGTTTCTCTTTCGGTTTATATGCTGCTTGGTATAATACTGAATAATGGAAAATAGACAAAAAGTAAATTTAGTTGGTAGATTTTATAATGAGTCTTGTATATTACTAAATTATTGTAGAAAGACACTTCTATGACTCCTCAGGAGCATTTTGTTTTTGTTTGTTTGTGTTTTTTTTATTAGCTTCGCCAAAAAAACAAACAAACAGAAAACAGATTGGCAAGGGACACCGCAATAGCTGTGGCCAAATACAGCGGGCCCGGATACTAAAAAAACCAGGAAATATTTAAAGACGTAGCGAAGCAAGAAAAACTACAGCTACATACAACAAGTTATTGGACGAGACAAGGGAAGAGCACTATTACATTTTAAACAGATAGACTAGAACGAACGTGGGTCTTCACAATCATAGGAAACAGCTAACGCGGACTTATAATAATTAAAAATAACCGATTTAAAGGAAGCTAAGCCGGTCGATGAGCTCAAATCTACTTCATCCGCTAAACAATTCCAAATTCTACTACTTCTAATGAGAAAGGACTTCTGGTACGTGGTAGTTTTACATTTCTTAATTATGCATTTTGTGCGAGGGTAAAGGCTGTAAGTAATGACTAAAACAGCAATATCCTCCAGTATCCCGTTAAAAACTGGACAAATAAAGATATTATATTGGTGACTTACCACTACAATGAGGATACATATGAAGATGGCTAAGATGCCGACTGCTATTCCAAGAGCGATATACGTTCTCTCCATTTCTGTGAAACCTGTAGGCATTGGGGGAGCGTCAGCGCCTTTTGCTTCCACTCTGTCGATCTGCAAAGTAATAGGATATTTTAAATTATACAGTCAACTCTCGCTAAGTCGGACACCTCTGGGGCCGGTAGTAAGTGTCCGTCTTAGAGAGATGTCCGTCTTATAGAGAGTCAAATAAATGGAATAACGAAAGGCAGGGACCAATTCTAGGTGTCCGTCTTGTAGAGGTCTCCGTTAAGAGAGATTCGACTGTATATCGGTTGAACGTATTGCTGTTTTGTCAGATACTGGGAGAATTGATATGTCTATTGCGGTCTACAAACATCCAGCGCTTTTGCCGCATGCCGATATTCCAGAGGCCTTGTAGAAAACATCATTTCTCAGACTTGAAACGTGTTCTTAAAAAGACGAATGATTGCAAAAAAGAAAGAGAAAGAATACAAAAAATTTCCAGACCCTGCTTCCAGAAAGCAGAAAACCTTACTTTGTTTCAGACCCAAAAGGTTGTGTATTTCTTGATATTGAGGACGCTGTGTAGCTGAGTAGGTGTTCTTGTCGTGCTGTGGGCCTGATTGGTTTGTGCCTTTTTTTATAGGTCGTTTGGTGATCGCACCCACTGATTCATAACACAGGAAAACTATACCAAATTTCAGACCAAAAGGAGTCGAAACCATACCCTTTTGCGGCGTAAATAGCTATATATAATTTATTATTAAAAACTGGATCATTGAATAATCCAATTCTAGAGCTCTGATTGGCTTAGTCACCATTGGTATATCAGCCATTAGTAAAATCCAACCAGTGGCCTATCATCAATGCTGCGTTCTGATTGGTTGAGCTACTACTATGCTATATGTTATAGCCCCCTAGTAGCGAAAAGACGGGCTTTTTGCCGGCAAAAAAGGGATTAAAGTCTAGCTTTAACTAGCTAAAAATTTTTTATTCTCGATATTTTTGAACAACTAGTTGGAGTTTACTAAAACAATTATACCTTTCGCCCTCATGGCCTCTGAGTCAATAGCCCATGAGGCCTTCGGCCTCATGGGCTATTGACTCAGAGCCCATTCGGGCTCGGGGAATAATTGTTAATTATACCATTTTGTTAATTGTATGGCTAAATATCCGCGAGCTGGCAGGATGAAGCGAATCCTTTTCTGAATGACTAGTGCACTGGCTTTGCCCGCAAGGGATTTCCCGCAATGTTCCTGCATAAATCCTATATTAGCCAAGCCTCTTCGGTCAAGATGGCTAGATAGTGGCAAATGCTAAAGGATGAGCATACTTACTCCCCACCACTGTGTGGCCTGGCGTCAATGCCAAATATGGGTTACGTTTGTAGTTAGCTGTGGTCCGTGCTTGGAGAGGGGTCGCTGGGTACTCCGCTTTTTTACATACTTCGCAAACCGTCAACGTTTTCAGATCTCAGTTGGATCAAGAATAGGTTAAACCATCGTTTTCTTGTCTCCTATGAATTATTAGGGCTAGGAAACAGAGGAAGATCCGAATCAAACTGACTTGAATACTGCTTAAACCTGAAAACGGATTTTACCTGTAATCACAAAGTTGATGTTCTATATCTCTAAATCTTTATTATTTTAATTGAATGATTGATTGATTTCTCTGTCCGTGAGCAACAAACATCCAAATCCTAACAGAGTAAACCTACCTTCAGTTCAAACAATGGCCCAATTAGTCGTCCAAGTTTGTTTTCTACCAAGTAATAGAGAACCTCGAACGTGTGTATGGTGAGTTCTTTATCCACATCTTGGTAGGATCCACCCGACTTTATTATATAAAACAGCAAGGATGCCTTCTCTGTGTTGTTCCTTGCCGCAGGGCAGTTTTCTTCAAAATTGTTGAGATGTACTTGCGACAATGTTATAAGATCGCCGTTCTTCTGAACAATCAATTCGGAGATTTTGGTCTGGAAGTATGTTTTCAAGAGACAAAACTCTTTCCAGGTGAATTTGAAATCCATTTGGATGTACACGGAAGGTAGCGGCTTAGATTGTCCTAAAATGAGGAAAGAAAATTCAGGTTTTACTGAGAATTCCAAAACAAGCGCTCCTTCAAAAAAGATGAACTCTGCCCCCGTCCCCTCTACCAATTGAAGAACCAATTACGGTATGGCATATACCGTATGCTTTATTGGGTTAAAACAGGGTGTTCAAAGGCGACCGAGCGTCCGAGCTGTTGATTTTCAAGTCCTCTTGTGTATCCCTTTGCTAGTCATACTCAAAGCCCCGGGGGGGGGGACTCCGCATATGAAAGGGGTGGGGATGCTTGTCGGCAATTTTGAATTAAACCCCTAAAGGAGACCGATCTGGACGTGGCCCAAGAGATTTTTTATCCCTAAAAGGGACCATGTTAAAACGCAGACAAATGAGAAAGCTTGGATTATATGACTGGAGTAAATAAAACTAATTAAAAATGTACATATCAAATATATATTTTTATATTTGTTCGCGTGCAACCCTTAAACGAGGCCTTCACGGCTAAATATGATGGCGTTTTGCCCAGAAGACCCTAAGTGAGACCAAAATGCGAAATTTACACCCCTAAGCGAGACGACGAGCATCCCCACCCCTTTCATATGCGGAGAACCCCCCCCTTCCGCCCCGGGACTCAAAGCGCTACATTGCGTTGTTTTTTCTTTTTTTTTTTCAAGGGATTGTTAGGTCGAAAACAAGTTTACTATCAGATAGACGGTGCTTTACTGTATGACAATTATCCTACTGTATCGTAAATTATCCGAATATTCAGTACTGTGACCATGCGGGAAACTGAAAAACGAGACTGTCCTAAGTATCTAACGCACGTGTAATTATGAGCAAACTGTGACAATCCAACAACGCCCTGACATACCTGATATTAAGGGTGGAGCACAAAGCAGTAGAACGAAAGCCAGAGACATCATCCCCATCGTTTTCTAAGTCCTACAAAACTGGAATGATGAATTCAAGATTAAAACCTGCTTTAACTGACAATATAATGCAAATGTGTCGTACTACATGTGTGAGGCATGTACCCTGCTCGGGTTTGTTTGCAACTGATCATGACCCATCGGAACTGAAGCGCTAAAAACTGATTAAGATGTAGACATCAAGAAAACTGAAGATTATTAATCCTTGCAACTGTCTTTTTAGGAATTTCGTTGATAAGCCGTACAAATATATTACTATGAAAGGATGGGCCCATTATTTAAAAGCCTGTCTTGTTTTTTCCCACTAGGTTTTTGATTGGCTTACATGTTTATTTTTAGCGCTCGCGGCAAGCCAATGAACTTTAGGTTAATTTAGGTTGGTTGTTTTTCCTCACCGTAAAAATCCTAAAGACGGTTAAGTTTACTAATTAAGATGATCCTAAGACATACTTTGTTCAAACTTGAACCTAAAAGAAATGTACATAACGATTCCCCCAAGGGAAAAACATGATCCGTTTTGGTATTTATTTGACGACACAACAACCCAGCTTCGGCAGCTTTGGTCGAATTTTTTGAAGTTGTTATCCATTTTACGTTCTTACCAGTTACGACCAGTTATCGAAAGCCATAGACATATACACGCACAGTAGTTTTAAAGTACAGTAAAACGGGCGACAAAAACGTGCAACTTGCTTTGCAACATTGCTGCAAAACGAGTTGGAAGGCGATGTCGAGCGTTACCCCCACAAATCAACCTGTCTTTCTTGCACAAAGCAGTTTGTTGTGGGTTGCGAAAAGTGTTGTTAAAAGTCGACTACTTTAATATCAGCAACAACTTTTCCTAACCTTCAACAACCTGATTTGTTACAAGACAGGTTTATTCGTTTCCGATAAAGCGGAAAACATCGCTTTTCAACTCGTTTTGAAGCAATGTTGCAAAACATGTTACACGATGTTGCTAAACATGACAGGTTGCACGTTTTTGTTGTCCGTTTTACCAAATCTTTATTTTAGGCAGAGTTGAAGAGTATTTTAAAAACCGAACTTAACCATTATTGTAAGTTGTTTATATGCTTTACGGTTTTAAAGCAGTACCCAAAAATCGCCGACTTTGGGTCTACATATCTTAACTCCAAAGACTTCAGTGTCGTTGTTTAACTGGTGATGAACTTGTTTGTCTTTTTAGCAATATGTTTGAACTTTGACACCTTTGTTGACCGCCTGGCGAAACCACAATAACAGTGCAATATATTTGAATATAATAATTGAGTGGCCAGTTGCCCGAGGTGATAAACAAAAATGTTTCTTAATCTTAGATTATCAGGCAGTCGACCAGAATTTCAGTCATAACTACCTTAAACGCTTGTTAAATTTACAACCTAAAAAAAATAAAACAAAGAGCCAAAAATTTGCTATTGTTATAAGCTATGCCGGTGTTAGTCATAATTTGTTAAGAAAATTACGAAAATTAGGCCCTGACATTGCTTTGACAATCAAACTGAATTTAGATTAATTCAATCATAGCTTAATTGCGGCTTCACTGACTTGCCTGTAACTTAAACATTTGTTTAGCATACAGAGGAGAAATACCGTTACAAAGTTGAAAAAGAAGTTTAATTCAAGTACAACAATCCAATAAAGTTAGTGTAAGAATTCACCAGTACCTTAAAGACTTTAAGAAAAGTATAAAAATTCGCGTCACGATGGAGTTAAAGTGAACAACATTGCCTTAATCAAGTTCTTTCTGGAATGCACCCTTCATTTCTCTTTGTGGGCTCTCGAAGTAGTGGAATCTTTTCTTGAGATCTATATTCACTTTAATTAAAGTTTGGGGCCTAAAACTGCAACCATAGCTAGCAATTAACTCACCTGTAGGCAAATCCTGCGTTTCAAAAGTTTGCCTTAAATTCTCACCAAAAGATAACAAATCGCTTCGAATTCATAGTAAATCTATCAAGATGCAGACATTGATGGGCGGAAAAAACGTGATTAACAATGGTTCCTTATTATGATGTTGAAGTCCACCATTAGGGATTTTGATTGTGCTATTACTACTCAGTCAGTACTTGCTCAAAGTAAGTCAAATGCATGACCATGCATGCAAGTGGAGTGCATGAAAAACTTTAAAATGTCAACTGTAATTGTACAAACAGGTCTTAAAAACTTAAAACAACTCTGTGGTTTTCGATAAGTTACATTGTTTTGGTTCATGAGTTCTAATTTTATAGAAATCCATTGCAATATTGGACCTATTTAGTAAGTAGAACACTCATGCTAAAACAGAAACTACAATATTCAAACCTTTCCTTACCTTGCCGTTAGGATCGATCCGTTAGCTTTCGTCGTCGAAATGACAACTTATGCAAACTCAGTATTTATCAAGATATTGTTTTGGTAACCTTCGCAGCGTGAAGGAATCTGACCGTGGGAAGACTGCATATTGTAATTAGATGACGATACATTTATTTTGTAATATTAAAATATTCCAAAATTTACAATGGCGAGGTGGCACACAGAATTTAAATTTACTTGTCATGCAAAACAAATTTTGACACCGTCCACTAAGATTTATACCTTAAGATTAGCAATCAAGTTTGCAACCAAGCAAGTTAAATCCACCATTATCACGTTCGTGAGAGCTCTTTAAACTCAAGACAAAGCCGTTCTCAAATTGTGCCCGAAGACAGATCAAACAATCTGACTAACATCACAAAACCTAAACGCAGGATCAGTGAACCATTTATTATCACCACCTGTACAAAAACCGACGGCGGAACCACGTACGGTACATCAGTTGAGCAAACCGTTATCCAACTCGCCCCATTTGAGGGAATCCCAATTCCGTAATCCGGAAAAATTTGGTAGAATAAAAAGCCTGTTTTCCCCACCCTTACCACCAACCCCCTTTATACTGTCCCTTCCTACTCTCACTTAGCCTGCGGGAGCAGACGGTTTTTTTCGGGTTTACCTCGGTGTAAGAACCTGTGAACTTTTCCTTTGTTTTGTATACCTTTTGTTTTTCTGGGTTCTGTTGTGTTTACTTCTTTGTTTTCTTTGTTTACGTCACCCGTGAGTATAACAGGTTCTTACACCGAGGTTGAGCCCTTTTTTCGGCGGGTCAAACAAGAGCAGAAAAAAGCGTCTGGTTACGCGGGCTAACTCTCTCCACATTAAGGGAGACATCAATGTTTACAAACACTGTTTTTGTTATAACAAATGAGTGAATCAAAAGCCGGTGATCTTTTGTTTTATGAACCAATGCGCTTCTAGTTGACACATTTATTTGATATCAATAGGTGACGTCAGCGTGAGTATCGCTATTGCATTAAGAAGCAACTTAATATCAATGAATGAATGATATCTGTAATGTTTGACTTAGAAATTAAATTTAGACTTGTAGCTTTTACAATACTGTAATACCTTTATGGCCATGCAAATAAAGCTATTGTTGTTGTTTTTTGTTGCCATGAAGGCTGAGAAAGAAACATCCTTCTGTTTTTGGCTATTTTGGCCTATGAATTTCTTTATTTTTTCTAGTTAATTCAGTATTTTCGCATGAAAATATAAATAATAATTAATAATAATAACTAACCAACTGCTAAAGCGAGCGATTAATTTGAAGTCCCGTTTGTTACTAATGACCAGCTTTAGAGTTTCTGAACACGTCTTATATACAAAAATTTCAAGGGGAAGTTAAATTAGGCAGCTCACGAAACATGTGGCCAATTGTGGTCTGATTTAATTTCCAGGTTTTACCCTTGTTATAATCTTCCAAATCCTGATTTGAGGGCCTGTTTCACAAAATGGAGTTTTCACAGAACTGATTAGAAAAAATCATGGTGGACACCATGATTGTTACAAAACTTTATACTACTCGTAAAGAACCAATTTTTTGAATTTGTTGCCGGAGGTAAAGTGGGAATATCAGAGAGAGACAGTTGTGTAAAGAAAAGAGTTGAGTATAGAGTTTAATACCGAAGTGCAGTGATTAGGGCTAAGCACTCTTGAACGGTTAGGTTAACAATAAAAAAATGTAATGAGCAATGCCGTGAAATCGTAAAGTAAATCAAAAGTTCCTGGTGTCGGCAGTGAGCTCTAGATGGTGTAGTGGATATGGATAAGGATTTTAATGAAATGATCCGGATTCAGGTCTCACATACGAGTTCAGTCTATTTTCCTCCTTCTTTCATTACTTCAAGGTATAACACTTATTTCATCTAGATAGCCTGATTTTGGGGTATCCATTCCAGTCACAACCGTTCATAATAGATAGCTAGCAGCCCCTTTGGAGTCAATCTACATGTAAGTTGTCCACGCGAGACTGAAGGGCGAACGAGCAGAGAAGAGACTATGGTCGCCCGGGCGGCAATCCTCCAAGGACTGCTGGCACTCCAAGTGTCGGTCATTTTAGACAGAAATAAAAGAAAGCTGAGAATGTCAAAACAACCATAAAGAGAAGGAAAAAAGGAGACTTAATTATTTCGATCTACTGTTACTGATGTTATGATGTTGATTCTGTTTATGCAAGTAATTTATAAGGATGCTAAAGCGGCAAGTCTTCAGCATCGTAAACGATAGAAGTTTCGTTTTCTTGACGGTGATTATATATCATTTCGTGAAACCCCAAGAATAGAATGTCAAAGAGAACTTACCTTTAATTTTCCATAACCTTTTGCCTAACGAGGTTTTGACCCCAGTGCTGTCAGCACTAACTATAGCGCGTAACTTTGAAGTGAACTTTGAGCTCGGTGCCACGCAAATTAATGTTACATTCACAAATATAAGTCTGACTGAGGTATCATTAGTTATGGTAAAAACCAAGCAGGCTTAAAATCTGAAATTTAGAAACAGTTCCTCGAGAAAATCAAAGCGAATCAGTGATACGTCACAAAAATACGCATCTTAGTTAGATCTTAACAATACTCACACTTGAGCCGCTGATTTCTTGCCTGCAATTACCGCGAACGATAAAATTCCTTTCCGGTTTCTTTCTCGTTTTCGCGAGGATGTCTGATTACGAAAGCGTACTGATTTGAAATACAGCAACGGCCAACTGAACTCTGATATCTAATCCTCCTGTGATATACCTAGATTTAATGATTATGCATACAACAAAGCAAATAATAACGCGTTATGATTTTTATACAAAAGAGAGAGAAATGTGTAAGCTTCATACGTCATGAAAAGTTACACACACTGTTCAAACAATCTGGCAGTTGATGCTGTCATTGAAAAATGATTGCATTCTGCTGTCTCTATACATTAGCAGAAAGGGACATGTGGCTTATAACAGGAAATGTGGCACAAAATTTCAAGCAAGAGTACCTTATAGTGGTAAAAAGATTAACGTCTTTACTGCTCCCAACAAATAAACTTTTCTGCCTGCGGTGGAGGTTAAGATAACTGACAAAAGGGCTTTTCTCGAGGTTATAAAGAACCCTTTCAAACGTACAATAATTGTAAGGTGATGTAAGTATAAGCAGCCTAACATTTTTCAACTTCCATTTTTCATCTCATGTCATCTCAGTTATGTTCAAGCATTTATTTCATACCTTCTTTGCGATCTTGAGTATCTACTGAAGCATTATAATATATAGATTTAGCCAGGACTAAAAGCGAAGCTCTCGATAATATTTCGTAAAGTTTGTTCAAACAAAATATATAATCGTGTAATGCTACGCGGCGGAGGCAACGCCGGAGAACGGTGAAAAACAACAATAGGTCTAATTAGCAAAAAAGCAACTTTGCACGTGCAGCACGCTTTTTTTGTGCATTTCTTTGTCGTTGTTTTGCACGACTACAACGTGAAACTTCCAGAAACGTCTTAGTTACACGTTTTTTGGAGGAAATGTCGTACGTGTTCTCGTTCACTTGTTTTTCACTGCCGCTCATTTTCATGTTGCATTGTTGGTGGCCGCTAGCATTTCTCATTTTGTCACCGCCGCTACAAAATTTTCATGTTGTTCTTCCAACAAAAAATGTCTCCTTTGTTATTTTCGCGTTTAGCTTCTTCGCTGGCCTGCCGCCTACTTTCTCCTTTTCTCTGTCTTTCTCTTTCTCTATATTCCAAATTTGTGGACATCTACGCTTTATACTTTAGACATCATGGATACAGAAACAATTTCCGCTTTCCGTTTTCGTCTTTATTGACTCTTTAGTTGTCTTTGCTTTACAAGACGTGGGTGGCAATGCGATTTCACGCCCAAATAACCTAGAGTTGCATTTGGGTTGCCCTACCTGTTGATTGAGTTATTTTACATTGGTATGCCTGTGGTGCGGACGGGCTGTCGATCGGTCGCTCGGGCGGTGTACGGTCACGTGATTACCAAATTTTCTGCGGTGGGTAGATTTACTTAGCTATGGGGCTCCGCACGCGCGCGCTTTGCGCGCGAGTTGAGCTCCGCTATTAATGACATTTTGGTCCATTCAAGAATTGCTGCCGAAAATACTTTGATACCGAGACTTTATTCAACCAAGTGCATTGAAAGTGGCCTTTCAGACGATAATTTTTGCGAAAATTTTGGACTTTATATGACCCAGATATCATCATTCAAAGACAGTGAATTTAAAGATTTTGCGTGAACTTTTGTTTATGTTCAGTCTTCAGCGTTTTTATTGAAAAAAGTACGCCTCGCTCAAAGGGGAGGTCCGTGGCAACCCAGATCCCCCCTAGCTACGCCCCTGTCCTGGTAGCCTGCGTAGCAAGAATTTCCGTGCGGTTTAGGAGCAAAGAACGGGGAACGAGAGTCAAAATGGCGCTCGTTTCATGTCTCGTGCGACCAAAGCCGAGAATCCCCTTCCTCGGTCTTTCTTTGCTCCGAAACCAGACGAAAACACTTTCGACGCAGGCTACTGTCCTGGACGATCATCTCCACCTTGCGGACAGTTCGCTTAGTTCCCATGCACATTAAATGACACCTCTGTGATGTAAACGCTAGACCCTATGCCTTTGCTACTCTCGGTATGAGAGGTAATTTTGACAGTATATTTTGGGGGATTTCAGTCGCGCGTAAACTGAAAACATACCGTAAATCCTCTAATAAGCCCCCCCCCCCCATTTTCAGAGGAAGAAAGTTAATAAGCCCCCCCTCCCCTCCCCTTAATATTATTATTATTCACGACTGTCAGGAGTCTATTGCGACTGTAAAAATATTTATTTATTTATTCACCAACTTGAAGCTCAGATTTGTTTTTGATCCTCGTCTGTATATCCTCCAAGTTCTTGTACTTTAGCTTTTCCACGTTGCCTAGTTCTTTATGGAGAACTGATACCATTTTCTTTGCTAAATTGAATTATAAGCCATCCCCCCTCTCACATAAGCCCCACGTCTTTATTAAGCTCTCTCGTTCTCAAATGTCTTGCCCCGAAGTGCTGAAAGGAAATTTGGAGAACAGGCTGTGCAACAATTCGGAGGTTACTACTGGGCATTAAAAGCGAAAGAAAGTTTTTTGGTGAATTAGTTCTTGATGCTTTTTATCTCAGCATTTATTTCTGTGTATTTATTAGGAGAGCAAAGTCACTATAAAGACGTCAGTCATGTTAAATTGCAGTGTCTTAATTTTTTATGGGGATGATCAATCGCGTCTCTTTCAGTTCGATTTGTTGACACGCGGTGGCCTACTAGATAACGAGAGGGATACTTGAGGTTGATTCTTGGCCTGGTCACCTTAATCTTGTTTTTTCCCTACCCACACTGTCCCCGTCACCCAAGGATTTTTAATAGCTTGACTAAAATGCTTAACATGCTACTTAAAAAGGGATAAGTTCCAGCCTCCAGTTTACTGCTAGAAACTTTTCGGTCAGTTTAGTTGAGGCGGCAAGTCTAGAGAGAGTGAAAGGGCCAAGAGGAGACTGGCATTTTTTCTTGCCATTTTTTCAGTGTTGGCCTCGCTCGATTTACTCACTCACACAACCATCCCAAGGGGCTGCTCACATTGTAGCTGCTCATAGTCTCGCTTCTCAGCTTGCTTTTCAATTAAGCAGTAATCTTACGCTGGAAACACTGCAGCACTGCTAAAACAATGGATGAGTCTTTTCAGACCTTGACGATAGTTGCTACTGAAAGTGAAGCAGATAAGAGGATTTATAACATAATTTGTGTAAGCTAAAAACATTGTGAATGTCACGTAGTCTACTGCGCTACAAGGAACTGAAAAGTTCCATGCAAACATAAGAAGCAACAAAGTGACAGTCCAAGGCACCCAGCATATCGCAAAACCTAAAACAATAGCAATGGCCATCTTTAGCACGCTTTCGTTTCTTCTCGTGCGTTGTTCCTCGGCGTTGGTCGAATGCTCACCTGGATGCACTTGTGATCTCAGTTTGAAAAGAATGTTGGAGTACAGCATCGCCAGCAAGACGATTGGCAGGTAAATGAATACAATGAATCCTGCCAGGAAGTAGTTTGCAAGCGATAACGAGTCTCCAAAAGTCTCTTTCCAAAGCATTTTACAAGTTAGCTTCCCTTGGTATTCTAGTTATTCTACCAGTTTGTGGACAAATAAATATGGTGAGTGATAAGCCATTGCAATAACCCATGTGGCGAGAATGAAGAAGGGACACAGTCTTAGCATGATGAGTGGAGAACGAAGGGGAAAGAACACAGCGCCAAATCGATCCACTGCTATCAGAATCAGACTCTGAACGGAAACAATGGTGGACGTGTCGGATAGGAAAGGAGAAAATTTACACAACGCTTGACCGAAGCCACCACCAACAAGCCAGGACCGTTCCGTGTATAACAGTGCTGTTTTGCGTGGAAACAGGAAAATTGAATACAACAAGTCGGACATGGCCATGTTTGTAACGAAATAATTTATCGGTTTCCTCATAGCTTGTGTTCTGTACACAATTATTCCAAGGGAGGAAGTCCCGACCAAAGAAAAGACAAGTATTAAGCAGCAAGCAAAGGTCTGCCCGACCTTTCCTGCTGTAGAATTTAGCTGACTTGAGCAGCCCGGTTCATTTACTGTGGAGTTCATGTCGGCAGGCTAATACAAACAGGTGAGACATCCACAAGTTTTAAGATGCTGATTCAACATCACGCCAAACCTGAATTTGTTAAGTAAATATCATCTATTGCCTTTGTCAAAGACGAATCAATTATTACTAACTAGTTTTGCAAATTTTCTTACGGGGTGACACAAAATTAAAGATGTAAAATTAAAGAAATAAATTAAAATCCTTCGAATAAAACTTATCAGCAATAATAAATAGTTTTGATGCGAAACACGCTTTTAATGTCGACCAGCTGCCTATACAAACAACAATGGACTAATAAATGAGCGTTGTGCTTTCTCATTTTTAAAATATATTATGTTATGTAGGAACATCGCCATCACGTTATAGTCCCAGGCAGTTTATGTCACCAGTTCCTATTTAAACACCTCTTTAAGGAGAGAAAAAGCGGAGCAAAGTTTCTTGTTTGAAAAAACAACCGGATGAAAAGGCTCAAACCCAGCAGGAAAAACGAATATGTTCAATGCTTAAGTCGGCCAAAAAAACTAACTTAAGACGTTTCTGTTTAGGTCTGCATTTTGAAAATGTATTCCCTACTTGATAATGCTTTTAATATGTATATTTTTATTTTGTAAAGCGCTATTGATTAGCAAATGTAAATTAGCGCTATATAAGTTATTAAATTATTATTATTATTATTATTATTATTATTATTATTATTATTATTATTACTCGTCGTGGAGAACCACCACCCAAGAATGCAGAACATTTACTTCCGGTTGACGGGCGTCGCTCAAAAACGTCTTCTAATCTTCGGATCATCGACTGTACCCGGTCCATGTGTTTTTGTAGCTTGCTTGTCGGTATCTAAGTTATATTTTGTGGACTCTAAAAGACTGAAAGGCTTGAAATTCATTTTTTTAAACTTTTATTATTTTGTGGCGTTAACCATAGTTTACATAGATTTATTTCGCTTTTGTTATAACCAAATTGCATTATCACAATGTGATTTTTTCACCAGCATGCCGTGCTAAAGTAGAGCTCAGAGAGGGGCGTAAGTGGCATGTGGTCAGGAAACAACTTGCAGATTATTTTACTTAGGAAAAAGTGATGTGATACGTACAACTCACTTTGACTCTACAGATTACTCAGTACAGCACAGATTGTAGATTAGCGCCAGTCACTGTCAACAACAGTCCCATTCAGGACTACGTTCACCCGCACGATAATACTCAACCTACTTATGAATGGACTCCTGGGTTCAAACCCTCACAAAAAGGGATCTTTTAACAAAATTGAAAGTATTAAGCGAACACAATGTTTTGCATTAGAAAAGGAAAAAAAACGACCTAATATCTTCGGCAGTGTAACCAAGTCATAAACAATAGTAGGAGACGCAAAAACTTTTAAACCATGTTTTCTTATAGAGAGTGCAAGGCTGATTGATGTCAAAAACAAACCACTTTCCACTAAACTACCTTTATCATGCATGTACAAAAACTGAAACTATATAGTCCCGTTAAGCTGATGACGATGAAAGAAGACTATTTACTTAGTTGCACCGCAGAAGCTTGCGAAATGCGTTTCTGAATTCCTCGTTTTTCCATCCGTAGATAAGAGGGTTGCATATGGCATTAAAAAACATGGCCACGTTGTAAACAATATGCTGCAGTAGCTTATGATGGCGGCGGCCTCCGAGTGATCTTTTATGGAAAACACGGAGGGATGTGACAACCAGGATAGGGATGATACTGAGTAGACATAGCGCTACAACAATGGCGAGAGTGCGGGCGCCTTTCATTTGATGCTTGATGGTGGGCATTCCTGTAAGGTCGCTCTGTTCTCTGACACGTTTTCTGTGCTGGTAGGACACGACGAATATGTAGACGTACGAGAACATAATGATCAACAGGGGAACAAGAAACACTGACACAGCTGGGAATACAACATGCTCTTTGCTCGGGCGGTTGGGGCGCTCTTCGCTCGGCGGATTCCCCGTGTTCAGGCGTTTGAGGCGCTCTTCGCAATTTTTACTGTATTCCTGGTATGGACTCATCAATTTGTGAAACTCTCTGGAAGTTATCGTGACGACCAGAGCCCACAGCCAAAGGGCGATGGAGACGATCTTTGCTCGGCGATTGGTCACTATTGTGTGGTATCTTAAGGCGAACTTGATGGCGATGAAACGATCAACACTCATTAAAGCAAGATGAAGAATGATGACCGAAACGAGAAAGAACGTGAAAGTTCCTATTACTGTTTTAAGAACAGGAATATGGAAGCAATGATTAGCATCATACTTTAAGCTTAAATGAATGATGTCGAGAACGCTCGGAATCGCCAGTAAACCGTCAGCGGTAGACAAACTCACCAGAATGATGTTGGACGCTGTTCGCAGATTGTGGAATTTGTGAAATGATCTGAGCACCAAATAGCAGCCGAGCAAAGCGGCGACTGTTGTGATCACATCAGTGTTCAACAATAGGATAATCTCTGTTTTCTTCTGCAAGGGACGGTTTCGATCAGAATCACTCATCTGTGTTTGGCTCATTGGAGGAAAATTGTGCCTGCTATGAAGTATATACTGTGGTTGAGACACTGGCGCGGCTCAGTCAGAACTTAAGGTAGACTCTCTACAATTGATGTATAACATACCACTACTATTCAGTTTTGTAACGATACTTAGGCTACATATACTCTGGTTATATATACTGGGGGTGTTCTTTCTTTTTATTAAACAATTATATAACTGACATGGTTTAAAACTGACAGCGCAGAAAGGCAGGTAATTAAGAAATGACAAGAGCATGTCTCTTGGAAATAAGTAATCTTACAACTGGCATTATGGAAATGAAGAAATACTTGTCAGTGGCAATCTTCATATTGAAGAGATGGAAGCGACTTTGTAACGTCGTGTTCTTAACGAAACGTTTCCCAGGCAAAAACCAGAGCCAAGAGCCGTTCTTTATCAGGTATTAAGGCAGTGCTGAGAATTAGCTCAAAAAAGAATGAAACAAAAAATTAGAGTAGTGACAAGGAAAACATTTTAGTTTTGTGGAGTTTGTTACAGCTATGAGAATAAGCACCTCTCTCTATTAAACGCCTCCTATTAAACAAACACCCCCGCTTGGGTTTCAAAATTAAACAGACGTCCCGCGCGTCCAAAAGATCATTTACGGTATACAAAACTGTTGCCCATCCGCAAAAACAAAGAACCACAGGCTAGACATACAATTAATAAACGAGGAAGGTTTTGTTTGTCCAGTATTCGCAATAAGCGAGCGTTTTTAGTCATTATAGCGTCAGAAACATAATTGATTCGTTGCGGCAATCCTGAGATCTCAGCTTGTTCTCTGATCTGCCCTTCGTGCTTAAGAGACATGATGAAGATGTAGGAGTAGGACCATAAGATGATAACTAGTGATAAACAACAGTATTATCAACAAGAATATGAGATATCCTTTAGTTAAAGGAGGCATGTCACGATTTGGGGGTCCTTCAGGGGTCTTACTGCACGGATTCATCGCCTGGCGTAACTGTTCGAAATCGTCGATGGATGCTTTAAGTATACCTGTAGGAAAACGATCATAACGGCCGCAGCCCACAGCCACATGGCGATAGAAACGATCAGTGCGCGGCGATCGGTTACTATGATGTGGTATCATAACGAGAATCTCACGGCGATGGACCGTTCCAAACTGATTAAGGCGAGGTGACGAATGATAACCGAAAGGAGAAGGAATCTGGAACGTGAGCTTATGTTTCTCAGAATGCAAGACCAAAGAAAGCTCATCTCTAAAGAAGAGATTCAAGTGTAAGATGTCTACGATGGACGGGATGGCCAGCAATCCATCAGCAATGAACAAACTCGCCAAGATTACGTTTGACGCAGTTCGAAGACTGTGAAATTTGTGGAACGCCCAGAGAATGAGGTAGCTGCCAAAAAGGGCTGCGACGGCCACTGAATCACATGAAAATTTATCATGATAATAGACTCAGTCTTTGTCAAACTGCGGCCTTCAAGACAAAGTTTAGAGGTACCGTTCATCTCTGTTTCGTTGTAGCAACATTTCTTCTGGTTACAGGGCATGTTCTGCCAGGTCTGCTAAATTTAGAATTGCAATTAGCGATGTCTCCTTTTAACTTTCTAACTCGCTCACAATTGCTTTTATCTGAATTTAACCGGCCTGTGCGCAGCTGCGCCTCGCTGAATACTATAATGTTGTTAAATGAAGATAACTACAAATTACCATGTGCATAATTAATTTAGTCATAGGTTTTTAAGTTATGAAAAGCAATATTTTGTTGTTAACAAAACACCAAATGACACCTCAAATGACGCAATTCCTCTTTGCAGTATTAAATGAAACGAATAAATTATTTAGTAGTGACTGAATTGAGCTGGTTCCTCAACTTCTATTAAAACTTCAAAACCTTCCCATATTGAAATAATTCATAGCACTGTTAAGGGACAAGGGTGAAAACTGGC